TCCCTGCAAACTGAACAGTTATTGCACTGCAGACCCTTACAAGCAAAGCAAGCATATAAGCTGGGATTCAGAAAAAATTCTGTATAATCAAATCCCATTTTGGTAGAAAAAGAGTTAGTAATTTTCAAGAGCAGCATGCAAAATAAAAAGACATTGAGGTGCTGGAGTGGGTCCAGAGAAGGGCAACAAAGCTGGTGAGGGGTCTGGAGAGTAAGTCTTATGAGGAGAGGCTGAGGGAGCTGGGGTTGTTCAGCCTGGAGAAGAGGAGGCTGAGGGGAAACCTTATCATTCTCTACAACTACCTGAAAGGAGGGTGTAGAGAGGCGGGGGTTGGTCTCTTCTCCCAAGTCACAGGTGATAGGACAAGAGGAAATGGCCTCAAGTTGCACCAGGGGAGGTTTAGATTGGATATTCGGAGAAATTTTTACACTGAAAGGGTTATCAAGCATTGGAATGGGCTGCCCAGGGAAGTGGTTGAGGCACCTTCCCTGGAGGTATTTAAAAGATGGGTTGACATAGTGCTTAGTGACACAGTTTAGTGATGGTTTTTTATCAGAGTTAGGTTGAAGGTTGGACTAGATGATCTTAAAGAACCTTTCCAACCTAGACAATTCTATGATTCTGAATATATGAAGGCAAAGCTGAAGGTGTAATGTCCATGTGCTGTCCCCATAAACTGCCTTCAAAACCAACATAGATACAGCCACAGACAGCAAAAAACATTAGTCTTCTGTTCTGAACAGGATAGCAAGAAAGATCATGCAGGGAAAAGAACCAGGAAAGCAGAACAGGCCTCTTTTTAATTATTTTTAATTGAAACACTAAGCAATACCTAGCGAACTACTATAATTTAAGGACAAGTACAAATGAAGCCTTGGACTGCTTCAATATCACTCTCCTCTCCTGCAACAGAATTTTGCCTTTTTCGGTCTCTTTTTTGTCTCCGGGTACTCTTCAAAGTTAATGCATCAGGAAGGATTTGTTTCATCCGCCACGGGAGCGAAGCCGCCTCCACAGGCTGAGACAGGAGGTGCTTATCAGCTGCCTCCTCAAACACACTCACCAAGGGAGGTGCCGCAAAACACGCAGCTCCATCCCTGGGTGTAAAGCAGCACCTCTGCTTAAGAACCGTGTTAATCACATTACTTAATTAGTTCACAAATAATCACTTTACACTTATACTCTGAAGCTAGATGCTTTGGCAGCTGAGACAGGGAAATTAATAGAATCCACATTTCTTTAAAGTAAATTAAGACCCGTTACATCTTCTGTATCTCTTTCCGTTCCCTTCTATGTGTTTTATCTCAGGCTTCGGAGCGTTTCATCTTTTTCCTATTTCCAAACTTAACAATCTGAGTATTTAATTTCTTAATATTTAACGTAATATTTCTCATGGTCTCTTTGGCAAGAAGAGAAAGTATGTCTGATGGTACTTTTTTTCCTTTCATTTCCTTTAGTCCTGGCCTAATTCTCCTTTAGGCACAGGCACAGGTAAGCACACAAACACACACTAAACTTTTAAGCATGAAAACACTTCTTTTGACATCAAAGGCTCTTCAGACACTCAGGAGGTGTTTTTTCTACTTGAAGCCCAACTCGTCTCTCCCTCTTCCCTTTTCATAGAAGGATTACTTGTCTCTAGTCCCTTGTTTAACTTCTGTATAAATCTTCCCCTCTTTTAATCTTTTCCTCCTCTGTCCCTTGTTTAACTTCTGTATAAATATTCTGTATAAATCTTCCCCTCTTTTAATCTTTTCCTCCTTTCCTTTTTCCTCACCTCTTTTTCCTCTTATTTTCCTTTCCCCCTACCCTTGTCAGGTTCCCCATTTCCTCCATCCTCCCCTATGTCCTCTGGGGTGGTTTGAGAGCTCTCTCACCTCCTCCCTCTCGAAGGGGTCTCGTGTAGCTTTGCTTCAGTTTTAGCTTCTGCTGCTCCATGATGGCAACCAGCTCATATTCATTCAAGAGGGTGCTTTACAGGTGGATTACAACAGACTTTCATTTTATGTGTGTCAGTAACTTCTTCTGTTGAATAACAGAAGAATGGGTTGCACATCCGCACCTTTTTAAAGCTGTCCCAATGTCAAGGGACCTTCTGACCGTCTTTGGATGCTGGCTCTCCAGTGTTTTTCCTGATCTGGGGATATATAACGGGGCACATCTGGGAGACCTGGTGACAAGTTGGTTTGACTGCAAGCCCCGGAGCAACCAGAAGAAAGGATGGATGAAAAGTGCCTTTCTAGTCACCAGAGGTATTCTGGATTTACACTGGTGTGTAACAGAGCACTTTTGGCTTTTATGTTTTGACAGTGATATTTAAATTCTTACCTTTGAAGGAAGAAATTGGAGGTGCTGAAAAAATTACTCATTTCCTTACAGATTTTCCAGTATTGCCTTCTCCTTGCTGCAGCAATGTTTTTTTCCTTAAAGGTCCTCCATTACTCCTTTTCCTTAAATTAACAGTTTTACTCCAGAGAAAGACCAAGTCCTTGATACTGTATTTCACATTTCTCCAGGCATCAGTATTATTTATAGTGTAAAACTGTTGAGTTTGGAATTTCTTTCAGCAAGGACATGGGTTAGATTACTGGACATTACTCAGCAGCGAATAATGCTCTGAGCTCCTCATCAGGAGCTTTTATTTAGCTTTACACTTACTCTTTCTGTTCTAGAGGACTACAAGAACAGCAAGATTCATGGCTTTCTGCGAACTGAAATTCAGTAAATTTTACTATCCAGTGTCTAGATTACCCTTATCACAACAGGGTCATCTTGCTGTATACATCAGAAGTTAACTGTAGAGTCATAAAGCTGACAGAAGGATTTTGTGCAGCCCTCCTGACACAACTCTCACAAAAAGTCAATTTTAAGAGCGTCACTTGAGAGAGGAATAGTAAGGCTTCTGCAAGAGCTTGAATTGCAGTCTCGAGAGCCAAAAACCCTCTGTTACACCACAGGCACAGGTACAGAAGAAAGCGTGGGTTAGGGACCGGACCACAAATGAAAATTCTCTTTGGCAGAATTACAATGTATTTCAACAGTAGCTTCTGGCTTAAGCAAGCCCTTTAATCAGACCATTAGTCAAATGTTAGCCAAAAAGGGTTTTTCAAAAGAAACATCCGAAAAATGGGGCTTCTCCGTGCAGCTTCTCTAAGGGGAAGTTCTGTTCATATTCCACATGTACAAGTGGCTGCATTTTTTTTTTTTTTTAAATCTGTTAGTATGCAACCTGGATCTGAAACTCCAAAAAGCCAGGGTGTTACCCCTTATTCAGGTGTACCTGAACCCCAGCTCCTGCGGGACCTTGGGCACAGCCCTGGGGTGCGGGCACCGGGTGGAGAAGGGACGGCACCGGGTGGGGCGGCGGGCAGGAGCCCCGGACACCCAGCAGGGAGAAGAGGCACGACCCTCCCTCTTATTTTCCCTTATCCATAACGATTAAAGTACGGTTATCCCGGCCCCCGCCGGTGGTATTGGGGGGGGTGTGTGTGATGCACCGGGGCACCGCGCAGCGCCTCGCCGGGCCCGCCAGGGGGCGCCGCGCCGCCAGGGATGGCGGGGCCGGACGGGACGCGGACCCCGGCCCCGCTCCCGGTGCCGCTCCCCCGGCGGGGCAGGTTGTGCCCACCGTCCCCTTCCCTGCCTTCCGCCACCGCGACCCCCCCGCC